GATATTACTGTGTAGTGATGAAAAATAATGATATGAAAATTAATTTAACTGCAGTGCCTTCTGTGATATGTCAACTTAAAGCAAGTGTTACTGCACTAATCCATTTTCGATCGAGGCTCTAGGGCTGGGCACAAAACTATCCATTCAGTGAGGAATTTTGAAGTACACATCATTTCTGTTCTTATTAGGACACAGGAATGGATAATGTATGGAATTTCTCCCCTCTAAATGATCTCCATTGAATAAGAAAGCAGTACTTGTGGGATGTGAAGTTGTACCATACAAAATGTGGGCTGTCTTCGCCTTTAAAATTGGGGAAGTTCTCATTTCATCTGAGAAACCACCTTAAGATGATGTGGCTTTCTTAAATCTTTTCGTCTCCATTATTTTGCACACTTTCAGTGTTGAGAAAGTCACTTACTGACTGAAATCATTCCCATACTCTGTAACTTGATGCTTTTCATTAATAATAATATTAAACATTAATGCCCCATATTTTTTTTTCCATCAATGTGTTGTTTGACTAACTCCAGTGATGCTACCAGCATGTTCACAATGGGTGTCAGGTTTGGTCCAATTGTGCATTATTACATTTTATGTTTATCACAGCTTTGAAATGAAATCACAATGTACAATGCACCTTGTATCAAATTTGCTCTATGGTGTGTCATAGCTATTCACTTTCATGCTTTGAGATGCTTCCTTGTTGAAAACACTAAGCAGTGCTTTTCATTCCTCTGCTGCTGTTTGAGAAATCTTTCTTGTAGTTGGACTATGCATGTTAATAAGCAAACAGCAAACGATTGACACAAATCAATAAATGGGATTCTTATAATGCAGCCTATTACTGCTGCTTGTCTCACAAGGCTTTTATTTCATCATTTATGCTTCAAAGAAATTTTGTCTCAGATGTAGGACTAACTTCTTGACTTAACCCACTGCTGGTAGTGTCTCTGGAAAATGATGCCCAATATGTACAACATGAATGAATCAGTCGATTGCTTGGTAATACTTATTTATGAATTGGATTTGCTCATCATATATTCAGGATAGGATGATGCCTACACTTAACTATTTTTTAGTTTTTTGGAGTGGTGTTTTCAATGGTGAAAATAAGTTTGTGTGCATGCTGAGTGTATGGGACATTAGCCTACACTAATTTTTGGTGTAAGACATCCCAGATGATGGTTATCCTGTCTTTGCTGTTAAATTATGGCCCACTCACTGTGGTGAGCAAGCTTTACTTTCCTTGCTTGAAATGTTCGACATAGCCATTTTTGTGGCATGTGAAAAGGGATGAATGAGGGCTGGTTGGGAACCTCAAATGCTAGTTCTGCAGATGAAGTTAGTGTTGCGTAGGTGGGAGGAGAGGAATGGTTCGTGTGCCTTTTTTATTAGCTTATATATTAGTCTGGTTTTGGTGTATATTTTGTATGAAATGTGGCTTGGATTTTCAGGCACACCCTGCCCCACTCTTCAAGTGTTGGTTTTAGCATCCACCCCTTATTTAAAAAATAATTACATGCAAGGGATGTGCTTTCAGCTGTAATTGGTGGAGACCAAAATTTTTACCGAACCACATTTCTTAAGGGCATTTCTATTCTGCTTTTGTGACCTTCCTCCTGAAATGTGTACAAAGCTGTGAATGTGGTTTTGTTATATTTAGCTCCAGTAGAAAAGAATAATGAGACCTCCCACTCTCTTTAAAAATGCATTAACATTGCTTTCTATTCTGAAACTGACAGAGCATATCTTATTTTGTTCTTTAAGATGTATATTTTATTTATATACATGTCAATTTTTCTTTTAAGCTGTATTTTTATCATTCCACCTTTATTTTATGAATTCTAGTATTCCTCTTGCATTTTGTGACTTTTTGTGTACTTGTTTCCATCCACATGTTCTTTGTGTATGGAGATGGAATGGACTGTTCTTTCTATTGGCTTTCGCTAGCTGAACCAATGCTCTTATGTTGGCTTACTCATTCTGCAAATGTTTTGGGTTATGGGACAGATACTGCCACATGCCACCACATCCCCCCATTCCCCCTCGCCCCATCCCCCACATTTTTATTCTCCATATTAAAAAATTATTCTCAGAAAAGCTCTTGTAAATGTAAAGAAGTCTGATTGTAATTAAAGTTATTGGATTCCTTGCACCATTATCAATGATATGATCTATTTACCTGACCCAGGTATCAATGGTATCGTCTTTCCCACCTCCTATTGCCATTAAGTAATTGTTGTCCACTCTGTAACATTCTTTTAGATAGCTATCAGTATACATCTAATTTTTATTTGGTAATTCTTTAAATGCTTTTCTTAACTGTTTGCTGTAGTATCTTTCTCTGGTTGTGGTGGTGCTGTGGTCCTGTTTGTTAGGCAGTTTGTGTTTTTTGCCTGTTCTGTGCCTGAGCAGTTCTAGCGGAAGCTAACGGAAAGGCGGGTCCTGCCCTTTCACATGCCCTACTTTCTGTATCTGAACATATGACAATAAAGCCTGTTGTTTTGATGTAACACTTGTTTTTTCTCATGAATCTCCAGCAGTTTCACAGCTGTGGTGGTGCCTGCTCATGTTTGGTTTAAGGGCTCACACTTGTTGGGAACAGGTTTAACAGGGTCGCACCGATGAGTTTAAAGTGAATTAAATCTGATTCTTCTTTGCCCTATGCATGCTAATGTGCCAAGGTTGCTGAGCTGTTTGTTATTAACATTTGCCTTGGAGGTGGAGGTGCAGCTTTGAAAATGCATTGTTTCTCAATTGTAAACTCAAGATTTCTCAGATTAGTTCTTTTATTGTATAATATTTGGACTAATTTGGAAATGAAATATCTTAAATAGACAGTTCTCAGTTGTGATATGTAATTAAAATAATTTTAAAGCCAGTTATTTTAATTTTCTTCCAATCAATCGTTGCCATGTTAATGTTCCATTATAGAAAAATGATGCATAAAGCTGCTCCTTTCTTCTCTCTCGGCAAAAATGTTTCACTTGCAACTAGTTTGTATTTTATTCATTCAAATAAATCCACTTCAGTTTCTAATACTACTTTGGGATTTGGCTTTTAGTTAATAGCTCTTTATTTTTAAATCACTATGATTTAGTTTTATTTTTTTCAAGAATTTGCTTTATCCTGAAACTGTAAATGTGTGCAGCACTACACAGCAATGCAGAGTTCTGTTTTTAGGTATGGTAGCAAGCAAAGTAATCAGATTTATTCATAACCAGATGTTTTCCTAAGCTTCTAAATTTCTAGAAGACTGCCTAGCTTAGGATCAATATTAAAATATTGTTGTCAAGGCAAAGGATATCTTAAAGAAAAATTGATACCATTTAATGACATCATACTCATATCTTTGAAAGGGTTAATGGTCACTTACACACAAAGAAAAGTGATTGTTTCTCTGGCAGTTTTTCATAAAATTTGTTTAACAAACACTTAATTCCTCTGTATAAAACACTGCTCTTCATGATAATATGCTTTAAAATGACAGCAAGAAACTGTTGTTTGATTCAAATTACATTTTAAAATATATGTCCGATATTTTGTGTTGTGATTTGTCAGAAGGGTTTATGGTGCAGTGTGCAATCGGTGTTTGGGTGTTTTTGGTGCGTTTGGTGCTCTGACCCATATGTGGCGGAATGCACTCTGCGGGCGTATGGGCGGTGGGGATACTCTGGCTTGCTGGCTGTCTACTCCTGTAAGTATCAACTTTCTTTCTTAACTAACCGGATATATGTATGCACATGTGGTGCTTTCAAAATAGAGCAGGGGTACTACCTTTGCACAGCATAGTTGTTTTACTTTTGGTGGAAATCTTGTAGGGAGTAAGTTTATTGTACAAATAAAATTGCTTTGCATGAGGGCTCTGCAATTGTGGGGAAACTTTCACTGTAATGTTTTTGTGGGTGAATTTCATTCTTGGTGTCACTAAAGGGACAGTCTATTTTACCTCTCACCCATTGCTGATGTTGCTTTGTACTATACAAACCTCAAATGCATGTCAAATAAAGTTCAGTTTTCTATTGTCCATCAGGCCAAACATATTTAAGAGCCTTATGCAAACAAATCAGAACTTTAAGCTAGTGTTCCTTCGCAATATTTCGCTTTGAAACTGTACAATAATGATATTCTTTTATTTTCAGGTGGGACGCTTCTGCCTGCCCCTCCACAGTTTGCTCCCCCGGGCAGTTACTCGCACTTTGCTGCGATGCAGTCGGCCCAGGTGATTCCCACCCTGACACGGCCTAGCCCTGCCCCCTTCGTGTACCCACCAATGATCTACTGGCCGTATCCGTCCCCCCCGGTCAGCCCGACCTCTTACTACGGAGGTGGTATGCCTCCCAACGCAGTTGCTCCACCGGGCCAGGTGGCACCCATGGGGGGGCCGGCGCCCCTCCAGGGGCCTCCACCTCACCCCCCGCACGCCCTGGTAATCTCGCAGCCCGGCTTGCCGTTCTCGGTTAGCCCTAACGGCGATATGCTCAACTTATTTCAAGGCTTTCCAGAGGTATTTGGGCTTTTTGGTTTGCTTCTTAGTTGTATTACTATCTTCTAATGTTTCAAACTTGGGTGGCAATCAGACAAACTTTGGTCAACTGCTATGGACATGTTGAGTTCAGCATCAAATTTTCAGCTCAGTATTATTTACAATTAAAAGTATTAATATTTGAAGTGAGTAGTAGAGTTGTGTTACGTTTGATAAAAGCTTGTTTGAATCTGATGTGGGACACCTCATATTAGATATTTTACAGCAAGGGTACACTAGAATAATGATTGGTATAGTCACTTGTGTGCAAATTTACTGTCACAGTACAGCACACTTGGTTTATATTTCCAAACAGAACCATACCTTATATGTAATTTCCAAAAGTGACCCAATGTTTTGCTTAACTGATGTAATATTGAATTTGTTATGTGGAGCTTATAATTGATGTGCAGTGTATTGTGATGTCAATATTTTCCACCCAAGTCATATAGCAATTAAATTTATTGTAGTACCTATTCTTTAATCAAATGGTGATTGAATTTGTGTAAGAAGACGTGTAAAAAAACAACCCATGGCAACTGCTTGTCGTACGGCTTAGGATGTTCCCATTTCTGATTTTTATTTTTTTCATAGAAAAATCTTTTCAAATTGGTTTTGGTTTAAGATTTTGGTAGTTAAAAGGAAGGTTCAAGATTGCTTTTAGTATTCTTATGGATGCTTGCAGGTTCTTTGGCAATGGGGTTTGGTTTTTAATTTCAAACCTGGATCTTCTAGCTGAGTCTCTGGGGGTGTGCTGAAATTCAAATTAGTTCCATTAGTGAAATTGATGCATGTAATTGGAATGGGAATCATGGGTTGATAGTTACTTGCCTTCAAATGGAATACTAAATTTTACATGGTTACTTAGACTAGTTCTTAAATTTCATTGATTCTGAACTTTTTGATCAACTCTTCAAAGGGGTTACAAGATGTTTGTTGCACCATATTTAGCAATACTTCATTCTAAGTGTGACAGTTGTTTAAGCATACATTTGATTTTAACTTTTCTCTTTTTCTAGTGGGCTGGCTTGGAATATGTGAATACTGCTCATCTGACACCGCCTGCTATCAGTAAGTGTTTGCATTAGATTAAATGCCAGATGAGTTTTTAATCTACGTCAGAAGTGCTCTAATTCTCTTTATACCTGCGTGTTGGTAGGTAATGTTGGACTGCATTCTGCTGTTGCGTAACTGTGATGGACAACTGATGCTGCTCTTTACCTATGTCTCCACCTCCAAGTGATTGGTAAACATGCCATTTTCCTGCCGTTGTGCGTCAACCTATGTACATATGTGTATGTACTGACTTTGAGTCACTGTAATGTTGACTGATTTTGTACTTGTGCAATATTGTTAATGCTCGTCCTCTCTGAGAACAAGTAACTTATTATTTTGTTGATTCCCCCCTCCCCTATCCGATTATATCATTTTTCTTATGAACTTTCAATACCTTACCTAAATTTTGCAGATTTGCATTGCAGAGTCCGTAACTCATTTTTTTCCCAAAGATGATTTAAATGTAGCTATTAAAAATGCTTCTCATTAAAGTGCCTACTTATAGGTTGATTTACATGAAATGTTATTGCTGAAATTTTGTATTTATAGTATTGTTAATTGTTTAAAATGTTTAGTTTTTATATATAGATAATATATTTTTTGAATGATGAAGCTTTTAAGCACTGAAGTTAGTACACAAAAGCAATTCTTGACAGTCAATGTAAGTCTGTAGAAATTTATATTATATCTATTAAAAGTGTTATCTGCATTGTAGACGCTATTATAAGATGAGCTCCATAGAGAGGCGCGTTTGGTTTTTCGGTGTAAAAGTTACAATTTGAGGCTTTTATTAAATCAGAGCTTTGGCACCTGCTCCTCTTAGTTTAATTTGGCTGTGAATAAGCTGTAAACATCTGACTGAGAAAATTCATTGAGGAGTTTCTTTATTCTTGGGTGACACAATCCCATACTTTTCATTAAGAAATATTATCGTTTTATTCATCTGACAAGTTTGGGTAAAATTGACTTTTGTGCTCTTAAATATCAATCACTATTGTGGGTTTTCTTAGCTCTGCTGCCACTTTACTGATGACGTTTCTAAGTCATATTCCTATTTTGATCACTAGAAAATCTCTCTTAATCTGACGTGGTTTCATGCTTCTGGCATGTGGTCATCAAGCCCTTTATCTTTTCTTTGTTTATCCTGTAACTCTTAAAGAATTAGTAATGAATCTTGTTAACTTGGCCTTTTTGTTTTCTTTTTTGCAATCTAGTCTTCTTTGAATTCATTTGTTAAAATTTATCTGTAACTCAGTACTTGTCAGACATGAAATAATTCCTGTACTTTACCTCATGGCTGTTTTGTGTGATTGTCTTGCTGTGAATGATTGTATTCATGAGTTTGTGCTCATTATAAAACGGTCATCAGAATTAGTATGAATTGCATATTGTTTTTATTGACACTTGTATATTCTGCTCCCATTTTGAGGAATTGATACTATGTTGCACAAAAACTGGCTTTCACTCGTACTTTGTCAAGTGCTTTCTGATTAATCTTGACCACTTTCTCTAAGTGTTACATGGTTTTGACACAACAGATGATATATATCTAATCTCCCTTTAGTAGATTTAAGACTGTTTAAATGCTCTTTATTTTAACCAGAAAACAACGAAACAATTCCCAAACATTTGAATATTGCATGTTTTGATTTATAATTATAGAATCTTTTCTGTTAATTTTGATTATGCCTATGCCCTATCTTGTTGTCCGTTATTTATTTGCATTGTTAGTGTTTTCTTAAATGAGAATCAGTGTTTAGCTGTTCCTTGGGATGAAGTCCCTGCACCAGTACTGTGATTATGATTTATTGTAAATTAGTGAAGCTCCTGTCAAAATTGATATTTATCTATCTATACTATGGTGCCAGAAGAGCTCATGGTGGTACTTAGCTCATTTGACTTTATTTCAAAACAGCTAAATAGTAAGTGTTAGATTAAGTAGTGCTGCACTTTACTTAAAGTTGTGGAAAATAGGTTGTGAAATTAAATGGAATATGCTTCTGATTTCATTGTAATTATTTTAATTGGTTAGGACTATGAAATACTGGCCCGAATTTGAAAGGAACTTTGCACATTGCTTTTGAATTGCTTCTCATTGTTCCTATATTTCTCAGTCACTGATGTTGCAGAAAAGTAAAGGACTGCTATGAGTTTTGCATGTGCAATTGCAGCATTTTAAATTCGGTTCAGTGTACTAATTGACTTTGCCAATCATACTTGCAAGCTGCTCTTTTCTGTGATATACAGTACCTATGTAGCTGATTGGTTGTAATCTGTTGAGATGTCTCTCTGCCAGAACTGTGCTAAATGTGATAAGAGATGGTAACGACAACCATGAGCTTTCTTCGCTGTTTCGTCTTGCCTTATTTTTAATTTTGTTTTTCACTTTAAATTCTGAAGACGCACAAGCAGTGCTCGTGATAGCTGACTGTTTCATCCTGGTTATCATATCTTTTCTCCTAAAGGTCAAGCAGTATAAGATTTTGAATTTTTTTTATGACCTTGACCATGCCTTAACTAGGGAGGTAGAGGGAAAGTCTCAACAGACAAAGCAGCTGGTGAAACCAAACTTCTCTGTATCAGATAAAGATCAAATTGCATCTGTCTGGTGAATTGTAGGCTTCCACTGAGCTTGCCTTTGTTTTTATTAGACCGGTCAGCATTGACATTCTGTAGTTTATATCAACTTAATTATAATTTTTTGATTCTAAGAAATAATGTGACCACCAAAATATCCAATCACATATCATGTTAGTGTGAAACCTGCATCTTGATTCATTTTAAGTGCTAGGTTGATACTACCGCAGTTCAACTGAGGAGACCATCATGGAAAATAAAAGTAAGTCAAATTGTAATACGTTGTTCATGGAATGATTCTGGTCTCTGAAGTGTGTACTGATTGAGATGTTTTTACATCGCTCTCACAGTTTAGGTATTGATTTAGACGCAATAACAGGATGTAGTCTGTAATGGGTGTTATTCCTTTGATTTTTAATGTTCCTCAAATAGGTAAGTGGAACATGAAGGAATTCTGCTGAAAATTTGGTGCTTTGATATGCAGATTATGGCTACATCATGTTGTATATGTAGTGATATGTAAAGTTAAGGAAAAGTGTACAAAGATGAATATTACATTTCAATTATATTGTTTCCAGTCTTGCAATGAGTTGCAGACAGTATTAGCTTTCAAGCAGTACTGTTGATCTAGGTATGTGATTATACTTTTAAGTATCACAAATTGATAGTGTTTCTAGTAGTTGACTAACGTCTATGAATATGCAGTTTGTATCTATTCTTTTGTGTCATACATTCAATTTCAGCATTATTAACTTTCTTGAAGACGATATTTTATCTTCCATTTCAGTTCCACACTCTTTTTAAACAATATGTAAATTGGTTCAAATTTTGTTTTGGCCAGAGGAATCAAACTCGCGTTTTGCTTTGATTGGTTTGACGAAACGCTTCTGTGATAACCAATCTTAAAGGTTTCCTTTTCCTCCATTTCTTTATTTCCTTACATTATACCAGTCTTTTCAGCAATTTTCACTGATATCCTGTAAATTCTTTACAACTCTTGTCCATAGACTTTAGTGTGTACTATTTATAGTCCAAGTAGATTTGAAATGTTTTTGAATTATTATTATATTATAGATGCATATTTTATGTTGATAAATTTTTAATGTGTTAACTACTGCACCCATGTTAAAGATGTTCAAATGAATTACTATATTTCCGTGCTGTGAGCACAAGATAGGTGTGAATGAGTGCATGTATGACGTAATGTGTCACGTTTGTGTGTTTGAGATCAATTGGAATGTTTGTGTTGCTTATGTTTGAAAGAAATGCCCATGGAAGTAAAATTTCATGTGTCAATGAAAGTGCCAGTTATGACTGGTTAGTCAAATTAATGAATTTGTGCAATAATATACAAAATCTGTTGTGTTAAATCCAGCATAAAAGTGTTATTAGTATAAAGTTATGAAATTAGGAAGTTTTCAATATTCAACATTTTCTGCACTATGTTATTGCATGTTTTAAAAATACTGCTTAGATTCATTTAATTAAAATAAAGTTATTGAAATTAGCACTGCCTAATCATGCCCCATTATTTCCCTAACTCCATACTATGGTGGTTCGAATTTGGACTTTTTCCATGACAATGGAGACAAGGATACCTTGACCAATTCAGTTTTGGGGGAAGTTAAGTGATTCTTGTGCCGGATGTGATGAGAATGTCCTCCTGGACGCTCGGGGTGGTCTGACGCTGTCTCCGTTCACATCCGTTGGCCTGATCAGCGCGTTGCAAGCATCCTCAGTGCTCTGTCAGCTCATAAGTGTACATTGTCTACTTTAAAGAAAGTAGACATGCTCATGTCTATTAAAGAAAGTAAACACTAACTATGTGTGTATCTTTTTCAATGTAGACTTGACCATGTCTGCTTTCTGGTGACTGTTTTGACTTGAAGTGATTTTTTTTACTATAATTTTTCTGCCTTTTTTTGTAATTTTTTTCTCTTTTCACCCTTTCAATTGAAGTGTTGCGATTGTGAGCTTTTTTGTGACTGATATTACCTTTTTTGACTGTTGGTGACTTGAAGTGACCTTTTTTGGCGGATAGCGCCCACCGCCCCACCTCCTCGGCCTGGGGCTCGAAGCCTAGCAGCGGGGAGACCTCCGGAGACCTCTATAGTATACTACAGCTGTAGATCTCCAGAATCGGAATCCTATCCGTAGGTAGCATTAACTCAAATAATTCTCCTACCCGAAACTAATTTTACGACGTACTTTTTTGCCACCCCGGGCCCCGGGCCGGGTCACCTCCAAGTAGGTGCTCTGCTGTACGTGTTTACAGGAACGATTGCCATTTTAGCCACGCTGTTCTTTGGGAACAAGTGTTTCAAGGAATCCGTTTCATATAAAAGCTCACCATTGATTCGGCAGACTCTTATTGGCGGTCCAACGGCACACCCAGCACCATGTTTGGCACTTGGACCGCTCCGTGCGCCGCTCTGGTTGTGGCACTCATGTGCTGCCCGTCCACAGACGGACTTCCGCCGCATCCGCCCCACAGTTTAGTCGGACGTCACCCTGACCGTAAGCTAATATCAGCATTTGTTCTCACGATAAATTGCCTTCCTGCTTCAGTTTTGGGGGTGGGCTCAGTTTTGGCACCCGGGGAGTGTGACCTTCATGTGGCCACGCCACACTAAACGTGTTAATTTCGGGGGAATTCCTTCCCGCGTTGGACACAGGACAGTTGTGGGCCCACTGTTTACTTCTGCGTGAAAAAAGTCAGAAAGCGTGCCCAAGTACGGGGGACCCGGTAGCGCCAAAGCACTTAAATGCTCATTAGCTGCGGAAATGCGCGTAAAAATGCACATTCGAGGTGACGAATTGGTGACTGGGTGACGCATTACATACTTTGATACGCTTTAAGAGCGATACCAATGTGTCACCTTTTATGTGCATTATTACGCGCATTGAAGCGCGTAGTGCATGGAGGCGTTCTGGAAAAGTGCTCTGGGCCTATAAGAGCAGCCGTGGCGTGGCACACGCTGAGAATGCTGGAACCAGACCTTTTGTTTACCGTGTGTTGCAGACAGCAACGACCATTGCCATAGTGGGAACAAGGTACTGTCTCCGGCCATGTGTAACGGTCTATGCCTCAACCAGACTTCGACGGGAGGCCTCTGCAAAGATGGCTTGTGCCTGTGCTACTGGCCCGCTGTGGAGGTCGGTGACCAGTCAACTACCGGTATATCAGCGTCTACCGCCTCCGCAGCTGCTGGCGCTGGCCAAACCACACCGTCACCGCACACTGAAAATGTATAAAATATACGATATTAGTTGAAACCAAACTCGTTTCGTTCGTATATGTGTGTAACAGCGGTTATAAACAATACTCTTCGCAATTTTTAGACAGTCCCCAAGACCTGTAGGGAAAAACCTGCACCCCCTCCCCCCCGCTCCCCCCTTTGTTTGCTCTTACAAGAACTCTGACAACTTTACATAACTATAGTAATGTTACTCCACAAGTTTAAGAAATACACTTTATTAATTAATTATCGCATTTTGCCCTCCGACAGCTGGCTGGCGGGGCGGGAGTCCTCTCGGTAGTAATTTAACATCTGCGATCATAGATAAACGAATGATATCATATCAAGGACTATACTACTCAAACTCATATACTATAGCCGTGACTCATGTTTGCGCGTCGGGCCTTTGGGCCGAGGGGTACCTCACTCCTCTAGTAGGTGTACACTGACTGGAGTCAAGTGAATTGTCAAGTCAATAGGAAATTGATTGAAATGATTGGAATTTGAATAGAATCTGATTGGAATAGGAAATGTCTGTGACTGGAGAAAACAGGAAAGAAATACCTTAAACCTAATTGTGTGAGGTTTGTTCGGTGCAGACCGAAGACATTGTGTCAAAAATAGTGTGGAGACTAATGGTGAAAACAACACCCCTTTCACATATTTTTGATTTATGTGGCCATTCTCGGCATTGTACATTAAACACATGTTTTAAGCTTGTTATTTCACCTTCTGTGAGGGTTAAAACAATTCAAAATGCAAGGAAATTCACAGGAAAATGCCAGTACACATACTTTGTTCTCGAGAAAATTTGATTGATCTGTATAAATGATCTGAGTGATAGGAGTGATTGGAAAATGACTGGCATGTGATTGGAAAATGATAAGTTTTGAGACCGTACACTGATTGGACAAAGCGAGGTACCCTTCGCTTTGGGTGAGAGGAATGAACAGAAGTTCTTCATACACGTTCCTTCCTCGCGGCAGAAGACTAGTTCACTCTTAAAATCTCACTAACAAATAGTGTTCATTGTTAATATTATGAATCTCACGTTCAATTTATGAAGAATTTTGAGCTGTCATAGTACGAACACAATTTGTTCGCAATACAAATCCTCTAATCGTTCGGAATATGAACATATTCATTCACGATATGAATGATTTTTGGATTCGGATGCAGTAAAGGTCAGCTTTAATCTTGTAATCTCAAGTCTTCGCCGATTTTCTCTATATCTTGATGGCTTCAGAGCCGATTCATTAATAATCTGAGTGAGTGGCAGGTGCTCGTCCTGTCGCAGGGAATCCAGCCACTGAGGAGCACCTGCACGCAGCCAGGTACGCCGTGGGACACAGACAGGCGGTAGGAACCAGTAAAGTTCCAGACCAGTTTACACTCTGACATCTATTCTTTTAATTTTGCAGTATGGGTAAAGTACTCCATACCCTGGCCATTATCGTGGCCACTGCGGTGGCGTTCAGCAGCGCTGCTCACCTGGCCGTCAAAGATGAAGACCCGTATGCATTACCCGAAACTTTTCTGATTGGAGCTGGCGTATCGGCGATCCAGACGGAGGGTGCCTGGGACGCGGATGGTAAGTTAAGGGAAACTGTTTCGGTTTCGGATGGATTTATTTAACACGAAAACAAAATGACTGTTTTTAAGACATTAAAAAACAACAACTACTATACAAGCTGAGAACTAAGTGAGAGCTGCGCTCGCTTTCTTATGATGTCTTGTTATTTTCCAAAGCAGAAGGGTGGGCTGAAGTCACGGTGTCACACCGCTACATTATTCCCTCATGACCTAGGAACAAATTTTACTCTCAGTCAAAACTGCTACAGAAAACGTCTAAGTTTGACTGAAGCATATTTTCGGACCATGTAAACGTGTACGTCGACCTCTTTATAGTCCGAAATTAGTTCTAGACCAACGTTAGCGAACTTTAGACCTTTTTGTAGATGTAGCATTTCTGACGCGGCTATGGCCGCAGGCCCGCTCGAAAGCCTATGGTATTGGAAGAACGATCCGTGAAGTATCGGTCGGGCCGCAGGTCCGACCACTCGCCACCGGCAGGCTAAGCGGCCCCCTTCCGAACGGAGTTGCCTGCGGAGCGAAGTGAAGCTGGCAACATCGTTTGGCAGAAGGGTGGGCTTGCTTCTTAACAGTGTATGGGCTGTGGCTGTGGGATCATCTAGAAAGAACGCAAGTTTTCCCCTGATTCATTTGGGAGGCTCGGCGCCTGCGACACTCAGTGTAGGCCATCCCGCAGTACACGCATGCACCGCAGACGTGATGTTGCCTACCTAACAGGCGTTTTTATAGCTTGTCGAGTCTGAACTTATTAGCAGGTTCGTAACGGCGAATAACAGACGTACACTCCAAGAAATGTTAACTGATATTTTTGTCCAGTTAAAAATGTTAGAATTTCCTACAGTAAGAATTACTGGTTAATTTGTCATTTATCGCGGTCTAACTTGTGGATTTCAGGAAAAAAGGAGAGCTCACCCGACCATTTGCTGCACACCGGTAAACTCGCTCACCTGGGCTTCCAGGACCCGCACCAACACGACGTGGCGGCTGACTCTTACCATCGCTATATGGACGACGTTAAAATGGCCAAAGCGTTAGGGGTGAGGGGTGCTAGCTGCTCTTCAAGCTGCTCTTCATAAAACGAACTTGGTTTGTCGGTGCAATATATTATTCTCAGATGCTAATTATTTTGTTTTCGTGACACAGCTCCAGCTGTATCGGTTCTCTGTATCATGGGGCCGCGTCTTTTTTGAAGGCGCGCGAATTGAGAAGGGCATTCAATATTACCACGATCTCATAAAAGCCATTAAAGACAATGGCATGCAGCCACTAGTGAGTTGTAGCTCAAAATCTTAAAAACTAGCGACTTTTTTCATGTAAAGGTGGAGCAAAAATCACAGTTTGTAGTGTTCTATTTTCAGATTACCTTGTACCACTTTGACCACCCACAGCAGTATGAAGATGATTTTATGGGATGGCAAAGCGACAAGATGGTTCCGAAGTTCGAAGAGTACGCTAAATTTATGTTTCAAGAATACGGGAAAGAGGTACTTTCTTCTTTGTATGTGTTAAACAAAATGAAATCATGACCAACTTTTTGGTTTGCTTATATCTACTCTTGAATCAGGTGGACTTGTGGGTCACCATGAACGAGCCCAACATGTACTGCGCCTACTTTCCTTCAATGTTTGTTGAGGCCGGACTTTACAAGGAGGAGGATGCGAATATTTACAGGTGCATGAGGAACTTGATCCTGGCACACGCACGTTCCTACCATGCATTTAAGGACGCAGGCATTTCTGGTGCGTCATTTGCTGTCAAGCGACCATAATTATGTACATGTTCAGATTTTTGTTTATTTATGTTTTATAATTCTACACATTTATGTCTGATTTATTCGTGCATAAATACGTACGTACAAATCACTTGCATACGGCACGTCCGGCACGTACGGAAAAGTACAATTATTCCAGTTAATGATGTACTTTGAGCAATGTCCTAAGTTTGTGAGAATGTCATAATCAGAACGTTTCTGTCGTCTCAGGCCAAATTGGTTTCACCGCTCTTCTGATGCACGCCTCGCCAAATTCAACGGCCCCCGAGGACGTTTACGCGGCCGACCTGTTTAACCAGGTGCACGCCGGACAGGTGCTGGCCCCGGTCGTGCTGGGAGACTATCCGCAGGTAATTTTGTCGCTGTTACATAAACATATTACTTAGATCACTTTTAATTAAAGGACTAGAAACGTTTTTGTGATAGTGTCACAAACTTGTATGTGTGTGAATGCCCATTCTTGGGTACAATTAAGAAAATGCATATGTAAACTATCCTTTGAAATTCATGCACTTGCGCCTGCATGTGTATAAAATGGCATTCACACGCCTGCAAGTGTGCGACATTCACATAATTGGGTGTCTGGTAGCCTCGAGGCGAGGGGGCGAGGGTGGCCGAGGTGGCCAGTGGCCAATAGAAATTCTGTGAGCGTTAACTTTGCCTATTTTATTGCAGGTGTTAAAGGACGAATTGAGCGACAAATTAACAGAATTCACTCCTGAGGAAAAGGAGTTGATTCGGGGTATGAGTCACATTTTTTATCGCCACAATCTTTGGAAAAAAACCGCACAATTTTTGGCTTTGTTTTAAAGCAATTGTTTTGTGTTTCCCCGATGTAAAGGTCCGGATGTAGTTAAACTGTAGTTAAACTATCGTTCCATTGCAGGTTTCTAGTTTAATTGCAATTTTTTGGGGGCGTTGGGCCGCAAAACGGGGAAAACTGCAGATTAACTACAGTTTAACTGCAATGATGAAATTACTAGAGTTCTGACTACAGTTCCTCCTCAGATCCTTCCACCCCAATTGTTTGTTTGTTTGTTTGTTTGTTTTTGTTTGCACTGCCCAAAGTGCTGACTTAAGAGTACGGGTAGGCCGCGTGCCCGGCTGATTGCGAGCGGCCACCTGGTTCAATTCGCATAGTTATGAACCATTTGTATGTAATTATGCATACAAATAGAAAATGGGCTATCTAAGACCGAGACGTGAGGAGGTAAAATCGAATAACGAAGAGCGCGCACTGCGCAGACGTCTCCGCCCCCGCCACATCCCTCAGCTTCTCCACTTCGCGCCTGTGCGTGCGTAGTGCTCCTTTTGTATTTCTATTTTACTTCAAAATAAATTGGGCATAATTATGGCACGGCTGCGTAAAATTCAGAATGTATATGTACAACGGGTTTAGTGAGTGGTACGACCATTGGTTAACCTTGGAAATGTAACTCCTTCATTTTGGAAGGGCATCAGGCAATGTCTAACCCTAAAACCTTCCTAAAAAGATCAAACGTTGAAAATGTAGTTTTTACTCTGATTTTTCATCTTATATATGTTCTTTCTCCTCTCCTCAAGGCACTACTGATTTCATTGGTTTCAATGTCTACTTCAGTATGGTTGCTGCCTGGCAGGACCCCTCTTCCAGCGCTCCTTTTTTCAAAATTCCCATAATGGGAAAACTAGTGGAGGACTTACCTCCTAGTACCTATGTCAACATCGCCGGAGAAATCGACATAAAGAACCCTATGAACATGTTCACAAGAGTAAGTCTGCCCCGGTCCGCTGCTAGCCCGCCCGAGCGACCTGGGCTGCTCGCTGCGTTAAGCTATACGGGGTTCCGTCCCCCTAGCCCGACAGAGTAAGGGGAGTGGGGGTCAGAGCCCCGGCTTAACGGAGCTAGCTCGGGTCCCTCGGGCGGGCTAGCAGCGGACCGTGATAGCCCTGCTGAACATTGACCTCCCCGTCAGCTTTCCAACCCGCACCAGAGCTTATCTAGTTTAAATCCGAAACTCCACAGAGACACCTCTCGGTTTTCAGATTGCGCCAGAAGCGATAAGAGACGCCGTTCTGTGGGTATGGAACAGCTACAAAAAGCCGATTATAATTACTGAAAACGGCCTTGGCGACTCTTTGGGTATGGGGAAGAAAGATCACCTTCGCGCGTCATATCACAGTGTGAGTATTAAGTACTTGGGCTTGGTACGTACCAATTTTGCGGAATACTTGATCATGTACACACTACATCCTGAACACATTTTGGTCTTCAGGAGGTACTGCATACATGTACACACTCGACTTTCTATTGAATGCGATAGTGCGCACTAAATGAGATTAATGCTTTGATGCGCTTTATGAGCGTCACCAACTCTGTCAATTCAGATGTGTACTCTGTCAACTTTAAATAAAGTGTACATGGCTGTATACGCGTGTATACTTTAATTAATGTATACATTGCCCATGTACGCTTTTAAAAAGTGCATACTGGCTTTGTCCGCTTATAAAGATGCGTACATGCTATGTATAGGGTAAGGTGCCCAGTGATGGACAATGTACCAGTGATGGCCACTTTTCTTGATTTGCATCGAAACTCGTCTTTTTACGACCTTGGCACGGAACTAATGTTCTAGTAAGACTCCTACCGTGGTATAATCAGCGAAACTACCTCGCTCCGTTGTTTACGTTCCGAGAAAAAGGGGTGTCCATCACTGGGCAGATCCATCTCTTAAGGTGTCCATCATTGGGCATCTTACCCTACCTTAATTTAATTAAAGTATACATGCCGTGTACGCTATATTTAAGGTATTTAATGCACACATTTGATTTGACAGAGAATGTGTCATCTCTTATGTGCGTTTCTACGCGCATTGAGGCGTTTCTTGAGATCCCAGTTAGTGTAGTGGTATCGACGCTTGTTATTACCGAAGTGTCGTGTGCCATGCAGGATCCTTGCCCCAGAAGCGCCTCAATGCAGTATGCGCTTCAATGCGCGTAGAAATACAAATAAAAGGTGACACATTGGTGACGCATTAATTGCGCATAAACGCATTTTTAATACGCATTTACTGCGCATCAAAGTATCTAAAGCACATTTAATGCGTCACCAATGTGTCACCTTTTATGTGCATTTTTACGCGCATTGCCGTAGCTAACGCGCATTGGCGCTGGCGCTAGCAAGGTAACGAGACAAAAGTAACACCGATTTTGCTTACGGTTAAAGGGAGCTCGGCATCGTTTCGACTGCGGTTGATACCATGCAATTATCATCTGATCGATTTTTCAGGCTTACATGAGAACTTTAGTATCGACCATGAAAGTGTTCAAAGTTGACGTCTTCGCATACTGCGCTTGGAGTCTAATCGACAGCTTCGAGTGGAGCGCGGGCTTCGGGTAATTTCGTATGGTGCAATAATGTTTTAACGGATTAGTGCACTCTCATTCTACTATTGATTTTTCGCCGTCCTTTGTCAGTAATTGTTACGTTTGGTTTTTATGCAGCAGAACTACTATCAACAGTTTTTAATTTGTAACATACGCGCATTTAATTTCTTTTTACATATAAATTGACACTTAGTAATTGAAATGATATTGATGCATATATTTAAAGAAACTATATGATTTAATTAAAAAAAATAAATCATAAGTAATTAAGTAATTCCTGCTGTAGAAAATTGTAACGTTTTAACTGACAAAAACATCAGTACCGGGTGATTCAGAGAAGATGCAGGTGCAAGCGGTTTTGCCTACCTATGGGGCCATAGCGCCTTACAGCCAGAGCGAGTAAGCAAACGCACCCGCCCCTGCGTCTTCTCTGAATCACCCGGCACTGGTCTGAGAGTGTGTTGTAACGTACACAAATTTCCGTACCACAGTCGGCCATTTGGGCTTGTTCACGTCGACTTCGAGGGCAAGACATTAGACCGCTCTCTTAAGGAATCATCTCAGGTAATTAATGAGTCCATTTTTATACTTATTACTTTAATTAATCTCTGAAAATATTTAGTCTAACAGACACGGGGAAGTCGTTCCTACGACCCAGATAGGACAGTGAGTAAATTAACTTCACTTATTGTTTTCACATAGTTTTGGATTGAACTTGCTAAGAAGCGCGTGGTGCCACTCGTTGAAGAGCCTATAACTACGACACCTGGGCCACCTGCATCTTCCACATCCTCCACGTCATCTGCATCTTCCACACCCTCCACGTCATCTGCATCTTCTTTGTCAACATTCCTTTTACTTCCGGTCGGAGCTGTATTAATAACCCTTAAATCATTTCACTAAAGTGTGAAAAAGGTCTATTTAACGAACAACTTATAAAAATAAAGAATAAGAACACACGAACTAATAAAAACTACTCGGTCTAGGCTAGGCATACGGTTGAGTGTGTTGAGTTTTATTGTCAAAAAGTCTCCAGTAGGTCTCACTCCCAGAATAAAAGCACGGCACGCATTGGCCAAGTCCTTGTCTGATCGAATTGTTGAGTAACACAACAGTACAATGTATGTACTATGTTAACTTTGAACATGAAGTCTTATGGGCACTACATCAAAAGAAAAGGTATAACGCTCATGTACCTCACATTTACACACTAAGTGGGATGTGCTTTCACAGGGAGAAATGACATGCTGTCGAAGTCGAATCGACGTCGAAACGACATCGTTTCGACATGCATTTGGGATGGGGTTTACGTATATGTCGTATGGAGTGGTTCGGATATCACATATCTCGCTCACAGGAGGGCGAGATCAGTGACCCGAAAAATATCGCATTCCTGAGAGCAACATTAATTTTCTCACTCTTGTTGAGTCTTGTAGATCATTCTGAAAGTCCGTCCGTCATCCACCGTTTTAAAACTGCCAAACTTAGCCTGTGCTGACTCTCAGCGCCTGATCGGTAGGCAACATCACGCCTGCAGTGCAGGCGTGTCCTGCGGGCCGGCCTACCCTCACTCTCGCAGGCGCCGAGCTCTCGTAATAAGCCAAATGAATATGAGAAAACTGACGTACTTTCTGGACGAGGCGAGGTTCAGTCTGCAACAGAGTATGGCACTCAGGCTTACACTCTCGCGTCCACACTGCTTTCTCTCTCCCATCCCCATACCGCCGCTTAAGTGAATATGACAAATATCGCGGTCTTGCGATAACGGTCATTCTGGCCCTCGCAATCTTAAGTCTTTGGAGCTTTACTCCGTATCTTGACGTCTTGTAGCGCTAATCCATATATAAACTGGAAGGGTGGCAGTTGGCTCGTCAGTCGAAGGCTATCCGGCCACTGGGGAGCATCTCCACGCACGCATATCCAGGTAACAATTGTCACGAGGCCGTGCTTTAATTAATTACGTAAGCGATTTTAGCCCCCCCCCCCGTCGCCCCTTCCTGTCATCCATGTGTCACTTTTAAGATGACCCCCCCCCCCCCTCCTCTCGTACAGTGACAACTGTTTTGACCCTTGAGCTGTAAAAAAGAGGCCGATTCCTGAAGTTGATGAATACACACCACCCATATCAGGAGTACCGATAACTGCGGGAATTCTTTTCTCATTTGTTTTTTAAACATATTGGGAAAACGTATACTAGTGAAAATCTACGTCATCTCTGCTCAAAATCCCCCCCCCTCCCAAAAAAGACGAAAAACTCCTTACGTAATACGTGCAATGCACAGACGGCCAAGAGTTCAAATCAGTTTACACTCTGTCACCTTTTCTTCTAGTTTTCCAGAATGGGCAAAGCACTCCACACCCTTGCCATCATTGTGGCCACTGTGGTAGCGTTCTGCAGAGCTGCCCACTTGCCGGGCAAAGACGAAGACCCATTTGCACTGCCCGAAAATTTTTTGATCGGCGCTGGCGTATCCGCAATACAGACGGAGGGTGCTTGGGACGCGGATGGTAAGTTAACTAAGGGAGACTGTACTCAAGACTGTTTCGGTTAGCGAATTCGAATTCCAAAACATAAGGCTTTCTCAAGAAACATAAATTGTTCACGAATACCTCAAACTTATGAAGTTGACGTTTTCTTGGCCTTGTATCACTGACCCCACCCAAACACCTAATGACGAAAAGTGACAGTTTAAGAGTGTATCCAGATTCATCTCATTTTGATGCAAAAGAAGGACTATTGACGTTTTTTTAACGGTTGTGTTTCTGTTCCCCTTCCGGCAAAGGCTGATAGGGAGTAGTAGCAGGCACCGCGCTCAATGTCCTGGCAACATTTTCACGCAAGCTGATAAGTGGACGTCGCGGATTTCAGGAAAACTTGAGAGCGCATGCGACCATTTGCTGCACACCGGGAAACTTGCTTCACTGGGCTACCCGGATCCGAACTTACACGACGTGGCGGCTGACTCTTACCATCGCTATAAAGACGATGTGAAAATGGCTAAAGCGTTAGGGGTGAGGAATGCTGCTATGTAACTGCTCCGCCTACACTCTCATCCTGTCACTGATTTTTCTTGCCCCCTTTTCAGTATTTCTCCTGTTTAAAAACTTTATAATCTGATACAAGTTTTTTATTTTGGTGATACGAAACAATTCCCTATAACATTATCAGTAAATTCACCGCAGCAGCAAAAAATAATTCAGTCAGCCCAGCTTCATGAAAAATAAGATATTTACTTAGAAATAAATCAGTACAGGTCTGAGAGTGCATACAACATGTACCACTTGAATGTTCTCAGATTCTAATTATTTTTCATTTTTGTGACAGCTCCAGCTCTATAGGTTCTCTGTATCATGGAGCCGCGTGTATTTTGAAGGCAGGCGGATTGAGAAAGGCATTCAATATTACCACAATCTCATAAAAGAAATTAAAGACAATGGCATGAAGCCTTTGGTGAGTTCTAGCTCCAAGTCTCAGCCTCAGCCAGCTCTCAAAACCACTTGGCATTTTAATTTAAGCCTGAGTTAGTGACCACATTTCTTTGTCTTCTTTTTTTCAGATAACTATGTACCACTTTGACCACCCACAGACGTATGAAGATGAGTTTAAAGGATGGCAAAGCGAACAGATGGCTCTTAAGTTCGAAGAGTACGCTAAGTTTCTGTTCGAGGAATACGGAAAAGAGGTAATTGACTTTTCGTCGTGTGTGAAACGAATCGAGTTATTGCATCGCTAATCGTTCGTTTTATTTGATTCTTAAATCAGGTGGACTTGTGGGTTACAATGAATGAGCCCAACATGTACTGCTCCTACTTTCCCGCCTTCCTGTTTGTGGCGGCCGGGCTATACAAAGAGGAGGATTCCAATATTTACAGGTGCATGAGGAACTTCGTCCTGGCACACGCACGCTCGTACCGCGCATTTAAGGAAGCAGGCATTGCTGGTAAGTCTTGCCTATACCCCTCTCCATTTGCACGCAAATGGGAGGAATATAGATACAGACTGCCGGGCAATGGGACAGGCTTACTCTCCCCCCGCCCGGTTGGACGCACTAAACTGAGCGTTTCTCGTTTCTGTCGTCTCAGGCCAAATTGGTTTCAACGCTCTTCTGATGCACGCCTCGCCAAATTCAACTCGCCCCGAGGACGTTTACGCGGCCGACCTGTTCAACCAGGTGCACGCCGGACAGGTGCTGGCCCCGGTCGTGCTGGGAGACTACCCGCAGGTACACACTCTCCCTCCCTCCCTCTCTAATATATGTGTATATTCTATATGAGAACTAACTTTGTGTATTTATTGCAGGTGCTAAAGGACCAACTGGGCGACAAATTAACGGAATTCACTGCGGAAGAAAAGAAATTGATTCAGGGTATGATTCTCAAATTCTTATTCTTTCAATCGTTGGATATTACGGTCGATTATTAACAGCTGAACCGTGCTACCTACTCTTACTGTCCGTTGTATCTTACCGGTTTGTTTTCTCTCTCATGTACCGAAGGCACTACCGACTTTATTGGTTTGAACGTTTACTTCAGTATAGTCGCTGCCTGGAACGACCCCGCTACTTCGGATCCTTCCAAAAGTTGGCCCATAGTGGGAAGATTTGTGGAAGATTTACCAATGACCTCTATCAGCATGGCTGGTGGTGTCAACATAAACAGCGCCACCGCGTACACACGAGTTAGTCTGATCAGCCCAACTCCTTAACCTTTACAGACCGACCTTAGTTTTAAATCGGAGGTCCACTTCAGCGTAATTAATATAGCGAGAGCCATTGCCGAGAGCAAGAAGTGAAAACCGGAGGCAAAGTATCTGGAAGGCAGGAGTGCATGGGTTTATCGAGTGCCCACGTCAACCTCTGTTTGTTTCATCAGCACCAGATTCTTTGCTTTCTATCCAAACAGAAGTGTGTGACCATCAAGTCATGCATTTAAAGGTGTATAGTAAAAAGTGTATACGTAACATGTGTTCCAGTGTAAGCATCGGTGCGGGCGCGCACACCGAAGCACGTGGCACCTTTAAGTGTTCGAAAATGACTCGCTGCTTTGTTTGTACAGTTTGGATGTCACTCTGAGCTCTCGCACTACGCTCGCGGGATTATCTCGCTGAACTAAATACAGGTTTCTCGGTTTCCAGATTGCACCAGAAGCGATGAAAGATGCCGTTCTGTGGGTATGGAACTCCTACAAAAAACCGATTGTAATTACTGAGAGCGGCCTTGGGGACTCTTTGAATATGGGGAAGAAAGATCACCTTCGCGCGTCATATCATAGTGTAAGTAGGCTGCTTTAGAGCGGGCCAATGCAACCGTTCTCGTGTCTGACTGTCACCCGTCGTCTGTGTAGCAGGGAGCAGTTGAGCTAGAGATCTGAAACTTCCATGGTACCTGAGTAGTGTCACTCCTGGACAACGAAACGCTAGGTTCAAGTCCTGACAAGTGGTTACCACCCGCAAGGGAGAGTGGAGTGGGGCACATACTGTCAGGGGCACATACTGTCAACAGCCTCGCAGTAGCAGCCCAATCACGTTAACAGTCGGCTAAATTGAGAAATCGTAAACACTCAACGCCCTCATTTGATTGCAAGATGGGGGTAGCGAAATTTTCAGTGGTATGGCGGCAGCGGTCATCTAAAGATTTTTGACAGTACATGCCCCCACATTGGGACAGGTAAATTCACTCATTTTATGTTCTGTTGTAGTAAGGACGGTTTGAGCGTAATTTGGATTTTTAGGGGCGGTATGCTTCAATTGGACCATCCTTTCCAAGATGCCATTCTGAATATGCCGAAAATCCAAGTATCTTATGAGTTATATACCGATATAGACATGGTGACAGTAAGTGCCCCAACCCCGGGGCACATACTGTCAATTATCGCGGTCTCTTCTCGCGATGATTTGGGAGAAGACACGAATATTTTTGCGGAGGTCACAGTGGCTTCTTGTGACTAAAGGTCGAATAAAGGCACACTAACCCAGAAATCCGAAATTTTTCCTGAATAACGACTGCTAGAAAAGATTTTCCAAAAGGTGACACTATGTGCCCCACCTACCCTTAAGGGGATGTCAGGGGCTATCAACGAAAACGGGTAAAGATCCAGAACCAGGGTGCAGTATTTTACTGTATCAGTGCGGACACAGCAGACGTATGACTCATTCTTCCATAACTTCGGGCAGTTTAACTTATCCGCGCTCTACACCCCTGAAACCATTTTGCACTGTAGTTTAATACAATGCAATTATTATCTTATTGATTTATCAGGCTTTTATGAGAACGTTAGTGGCGACCATGAAAGAATTCAAAGTTGACGTCTTCGCATACTGCGCTTGGAGTATAATCGACAGTTACGAGTGGGGCTCGGGCTTTCGGTAATATTATGGTGCAATATATAATTCAACGTTTTAGTGTTGTATCCACACCAAAAATATTTTTTCATTTTTTAGTCGGCCGTTTGGGCTAGTTCACGTCGACTTTGAGGGCAAGACACTAGACCGTTCACTCAAGGATTCTTCTCAGGTAAATACACACTGTTAAAAGCCTGCGAAGTATTTTGCTCCTTTGTAACTACGAAGCATTTACTTCGCAATTACAACGTGATGCTTTGCAATTACGAAGTGACACTTTGCAATTGCAAAGCGATGCTTTGCAGCGTTTTCATTGCTTTGCAATTGCAAAGCATCACTTTGTAATTGCAAAGTAAATGCTTCGTAGTTACAAAGGAGCAAAATACTTCGCAGCTCTGCAAAGCAAATGCTTTGTAGGAATTTAACAGTGCACTCTATACCCTTGCGCATTGTGAAGTGCACAGGGAAAATGGTTCCATATTGAATTAATAGAAATTATCTTAGATTTTGGTCTTGTAGAGATAGAATATTTAAGTCACTTTAAGGTTTTTCCTTGTTCTTAAGAATAATTCTTTACCCTATGGAAATTATCCCCCTCTCCCTCCCCTCTTCCCCACCAAAAAAAAAGTCGTGAGAAAAGTTAGATCATATTATTAATCATAAAATCAACGAAACCGTTTTCTATGTGTATGTGTCGAGCTATATTCAATCACTGTGAAAAATTTTGTCGTAAATTTACAAAAATTTGGTAAAGTCGAATTATAATTTAAGCTGCAAATTTACGACAGCACATTTTTTACTCGCCAAGGAAAAATTTTCTGTAAACCAACCTACTTTTTTTCACAGTGATTAAGCATTTCTCGTGAGCTACGCGCCCCGAAGCGTGGCCCAAGCGCGACCCAAGCGCGGCGTGGATCGCTGGCGTCGTTCTTCCCCGCGCCCTGCCCCTCGCCCTACTCACGCTTGCAGAAGCGTGCGCTTGGGGGCGCGTAGCTCAGAGAAATGCTTAGTTGAATATAGCTCATAAGATTTTCAGAGTGTGAATAGGTTAAAATCGCTCCGACCTTGCCTAATTGCCTACTTGCGCGGAACTGAGTTGGCAAATTTAGCGCTTTTAGTGGTGTCCGAAAGTTAATGATAAAAATACGATTTTTGCACCAAAAGTCCCATTTTGCCGTCTTAGTTGTAATTCCCCTCTTTCCGTCTTGAAAACCATTATACTTTGACAGGGAAAACGGTTTCCTGTAACTCTAAGTACATTAACTGTTCTTTTTTTCACAGTTTTGGATTGAACTCGCTGAGAAGCGTGTGGTGCCACTCGTTGAGGAGCCTTTGCCCTCATCAACTGCATCTTCGACTTCAACTTTCCGTTTGCTGCTGGTTGCAGCTGTCTCTATAACGATTAATTTATTTTACTATGTGCAATATCTAATAAACAATTTGTAAAACCAAAAAGTGAATACAGACATTTCTGTCTCGGGGGGCGTTTGCTGGCATTAGACCGTCAAAACGTTAGACACGACGTTATCTATACTCTATACACGTTAACTACTGGAACACCTTAACGACTTTAGGAATTTAAGCAGTTTCCACGTATTTCTGCACCAGACAGAGAAATTGTTGTGCGACCGAGAGGTCCCCAACTCCGAAAATAGGTGTACAACGTGTTGTCAAGTTGATGAGTTAAAGCGAGTTGGGTGCGAGTTGCACGCGAGTACAACGTGAGCTTGACGCGACTTTTCGCTAATTTTTATTTTTTGCGAGATGCGATGGACCGGAGATATTGCGATTTTTCGGGAGTTGGGTACAACGAGTTGGTGAGTGGAGGACCCCTCTGACCAATGCAGGTGCGACTGCTCATTTGGCGAGGACGACGCCCGGAGAATAGGCCACCTCTCCGGCGCGCCCAGGGTAGGCCACAGTCTCCACACAGCCGCTCGGTGGGTTGGCCTACCCGACATGTAGGCGCTAGTACCAGCGTCGCGCGAACTTTGATTGTTTTTCTCAGTGCGCCGTCCGCAGCCGAATTGGAGTGAAGAGAAGGGGAACAGGTTAACAGAGAACATCGTGTCAGCTGACGGCGAAACTCAACCGACACCCAGTAATAATGACTATCTTTTCGTTTTTTTTTCTTTATTCCACAAAACTATTAATTCAGTATGGCACATCGTAATGAAATGATTTAAGGGCTATTAATACAGCTCCAATCAGAAGTAAATGAAAGGTTGAGGTGGAAGATGCAGATGATGTGGAGGGTGTGGAAGATGCAAATGACGTGGAGGGTGTGGAAGATGCAAATGACGTGGAGGGCGTGGAAGATGCAGGTGGCCCAGGTGTCGTAGTTATAGGGTCTTCAACGAGTGGCACCACGCGCTTCTCGGCAATCTCAATCCAAAACTGTGAACACGTTTTTATGCAGCATGAATTACAGACTAATTTGTTAATTTATTGTATATTTCTGCTTGTAACTTACTGATAACAGATAACATTATCAGTCGGAGTTATTCGCAGCGAAAATCAAAACCTTCGTAGCTCACTAAGGATTTTGACGCGTTGTATTACGAACTAATTCTTCGTAGGTTTACGAGAAAATAGTTTATAATGCAAACTGATTGTTCATTGAAAGAAAGAACCTGTCTAGCCTTAGAAAGAATTTCTTTGCCATACAAACAATTTCTTTGCAATACAAACACATTCTCTGCAATACAAAGAAATAGTTCGCACCGTTGCAAAGCATTTATTTCGAATCGCTGACCAATTCTCACCAGGACAAAATTGACAATTCGTTTACCTGAGATGAGTCCTTCAGTGAACGGTCTAGTGTCTTGCCCTCATAGTCGACGTGAACCAGTCCGAAATACCGTCTAGAATACATAAAAATTGTTAACGATGTTGTTACAACTCAAACATGTTAAAACATATCTGTACCGCATCAAATTACCCATAGTCTGCGCCCCACTCGTAACTGTCGATAAGACTCCAAGCGCAGTATGCGATGACATCCACTTTGAATTTTTTCATGGTCGTCAATAACGTTCTCATGAATGCCTAATAAACCAATAATGATAAGTTCTTAGTGACGAAAAATTAATACCGAAATTATGCCTTCCCATATACCGTTGGCGAAATCGGTGCCACTTTTGTATCGTTGTAACTATCAAACCATGCATAGTTCTCATGGCAAGCATAAATTTGATTAATCGTGTACGGGATGGTTAAAATCAAGGCAAGTACGAGGGGGCCCTTCGATTTAGGGTTTACACTTCTTTCTGTACACAGGATTACGTGTTGTGATCACGTTTGTGAAAAGAGTTACCCGACAACCATGCCACGGGCTAAGTGCTTTCTCGCGAATTTGCAATTATTTTTTTTTGTCGTGCTTACACGAGGTGCATGAAATTATACTTACACTATGGTATGTGGAGCGATGATGATCTTTCTTCCCCATATTTGAAAAGTCTCCAATGCCGTTTTCAGTTATTACAATAGGCTTTTTGTAGCTGTTCCATGCCCACACAACGGCGTCTCTTATCGAGTCTGGGTCAATCTAAAAACCGAAGGAGACAGGTGTTGATTAGGAATAGCGGATTTAAACTATATGGATCTACTCCGGCGCGGATCGAAGTGGAAAAGGGGTGTGTGTGGGGGGGGGGATGAAACGGCTGGGCTGGTTCAGACTTACTCTATCCCACATTTTCTCGGGGTTTGTATCGACACCCCCGGCGATGTTCATATACGTCATAGGCAAGTCTTCCACAAATTTTTGTACCAAAGGCATCATGATAGGAGCCGAAGTACTGGGGTCTTTCCAGGCAGCTACCATGCTGAAGTAAATGTTAAAACCAATGAAATCGGTACTTCCTTAGAAACAGGAGAGGAAAAACACACTCGTTAGATGCTACTCGATGCTACTACACACAACGTGGATTTGTATCTTTTGTTTGTGCAATACCTTTGATCAATTGCTTTTCTTCAACAGTAAATTCTGTTAATTTGTCGCTCAATTCATCTTTCAAGACCTGCATGACGAGGAATACACAAATATCAGATTTTCACCCAATAGTCCAATAACACAATTTCTCACATCTCAAATCTCGCCTACATTTGCCTTTCTAATAAATGTGACCTAGATAATCCCCCCTGTAAGAAAATTACAAAAGTTGTACCTGCGGGTAGTCTCCCAGCACGATCGGGCCCAACATCTGTCCGGCGTGCACCTGGTTGAACAGCTCGGCCGCGTAAACGTCCTCGGGGCGAGTTGAATTTGGAGAAGTGTGCAACAGAAGCATGGTCAAACCAATTTGGCCTAAAACGACACAGTGTTTGACAATTTAAAAACAAACCTTCTCAAATTACGTCATTTTGTTTCTATTATATCTATTTTGTTGTGAGTTGCTAGGGTGGTGGGAGGAGGGAGGCAATTTCTTTGAACTAAGGGTTCTGAAAAAGTAGAGTACGCTAAATACATCGCACTAGATAGCATGTTTTGGTGTCAGGTACCATTGATTAGTCACAATTATTGGTTATTTTTTCAGCTCCGAAGGACCCTGACTTAATTTATGTTCGGCTAGACGAGAAGCAGGTCCAGATAATGCACTGTATAATGCTTATTAACTAAATACTTTGGATCGCTATGAACAATTATTCATTCTTTTTATTGCAAAGATGTTGTTTTTATTGCAAAGCAATTGTTTGTGAGACAAGGAATGCTCTTACGAACAATCGATTTGCATCACGAAGTATTTGTTCGTAAGTTTACGAAGAACTAGATTCTAACACAAGGCTTAAAAATCCTCCGTAATCGATGAAGGTTTTGGTTCGCATTACGAACCCTGTTGTTCGTAAGCAATTTACAGTGTGTAAAGGACGTACCAGCAATGCCTGCTTCCTTAAATGCACGGTACGATTGGGCGTGTGCTAGGACGAAGTTCCTCATGCAGTTGTAAACATTAATATCCTCCTGCTTGTAAAGTTCGGCCGCAACAAACAAGGCAGGAAAGTAGATGCAGTACATGTTGGGCTCGTTCATTGTGGCCCACAAGTCCACCTGATTTCAGAGAGGTATGAACAAACCGAAACAGTCATTAATGCAAGATCTCATTATGTTTAACACACACAAAGAAAAACAAGGACCTCTTTTCCGTATTCGTTGAACACAAAAGTAGCGTACTCTACGAATTTAGGGACCATCTTCTCGCTTTGCC